CTCAATCACATCAGTTCTAGAATTTTCAGCTAAAACTTCTTCTCTGGACCTAATTGTCCAATCTCGCAGTTAAACCTGACCCTGTCACGTGATCTGTGTGCTTTCCCCCTTCCTTTATTAAGAGCATGCAGGCTTGAGGGGAGAAAAAAAAAAAAAAGTGTCTTCCTATAGTGCCTCTTTCATGCAGGAGAATTTTCAGAGTTAAGGTTCCCTGGCAGGTGACTCAGAAATGGCCAACTCAGAGGTACCTTGGACTTTAGGACAGGCTGATGGCCAGTGATGACTCTTTTTAAAGCTCTTCTATTGTTTTTCTTCTACGTCTTTTTCTTCATTTTTTTGCCTTGAGGCAAGATGAACCATTGACCCTTCATAGGAAAATGTGTAGATTGCACATCCCCTGTAGCACTGTCTTTGTGTTCCCCTGGTCCAGTGTGGATTAAACCCTTCCCTTAACCTATTTTAATTATTGACACTTTTTATCCAATTATTTCTCTACAAGTGTCTGTCAGCACGTATACATACAACAGGTGTTGAATCAAACAATCATGGCTAAATGTTTTCACTTAAGCATTCTTGTTACACCTGGTCAGACATAATTCAGAGGGTTTGGGGGAGCTTTCTCCTTTTCCTGAATTTATCTGTAGCTGTGCTGGAAAAGGAAATTTAAAAAGGCATCTCTCTCTAAAGATCCAGTATACTTCACTAAATAGAAATCCTTTTAAGTTAAAAAATTCAAAATAGATCAGTCTGCTTTATTGATGCATCACACCTTTTGTGAATCAGTTTACTTACAGCAGTTTACAAATTTGAGGTCCTGGGCTCACGAGTTCAAATGTTGCTCAACTGTCTGTGTGACATTTCTGCTGGAACTTTTCTATTCCTGTCCTCAGAGCTTCTGGGGAAAAAAAATAAATACAGGTATCATTCACATAATCTCTGTGCATGGTTTTGTCTTTATAACTCACTCCAACACCTTTGCAATTGTGCTTCTGCTCACTGGGGATGCTGTGTATGATTTCCAGCTACCTTAACACCTTGAGGTGATGTGGCCCTTAGAGTGTTGTTAAGGTGAATAGTTGTAAGGCAAGTTGAATATTGTGTGTCTGAAGGGACTCTGAGCTGAAGTGAGCTGTGCTGGTGCATCTAGATCATCCCTTTTTAACCAGGGTTGTGTCAGTGGGAAAAATGAGACCTGTAAGCAGACTTCTTCATGGTTATTCTTACCTGAGCACATGGTTACACCTGGGGAGTAAAAGCCTGGAAGGAAAAAAGGCTGCAGCATGTATGGTCTGGCACTCAAATACAAAGGATTTAGCGACATAAATGAGCCTGGTATGGACCTTGTGAGCAGCGCTGCTGAATGAAAGCTGTCCTTCAGCACATCCCCTCCCAGGTTCCTGGGCAGGGTGATGGGCCCATATTCATCTTTGCACGATGCCTTGTGACTTCATTTTCTCTAAACTCACTTGAGGCTTAACTTTATCAACCTGGGTATGGCTGAAAGTTTCTATTAGAAAACTGTAATACTAAGAAGTTCCTAGAAAACATGGTTAAAGTATTTATTTATAGGGTTTTTTTAATTGGTAATCAAAATATACAAATGGGAATTGTAAGCAGTTTTGCGTGGACAGTGGTTTGTGCCACACAGAACAGTTTGCATGTTGGGGAAAGGCTTCAGTTAATCAAAGTGGGCATTATTGAAAAAAATAAACCAACTTTGTTTTGTGGAAAACAAAAAGTAAACCTGTTACGTTTAAAGTGGCTGTGGAAATGAGTGCTAAGGGTGTTCCTGGCTATAAGGAGCCTGTAACCAAAAGCAAGAGGTATTAAATTTCAGGGGTCCAGCCAGCACAAAGCCAGTTCAGGTGTGTCACAGCTCACAGCAGAGGCAATGGCCACCTGGTGGTCTCCCACACTCTGCAGATGACCTGGCTGTGGTGCAGCTGCCTGCGGGGCTTATCCAGTGCTGTTAGAAACATTAAGGCTTTTGCTCGGAGCTGCTGTGAATGTCTCTGTAGGTTATGCACCAGAAAAGGTAAGGATGTTTCAGCAGTACTTAAGTGATGAGAATGGGCCATTTAAAGCCACGCCTTTTGGAATGCCTCGCTCCCCCCCCAGCTCTCATCTTCAGCCAAGTCACAGGTTTGGGATAGGCAGTGGTAATCGTGATGCACTTACCAGCTCTCCGTCTGGAGCACACGTTCAGGAGGTGGAGTCCAGGTCCATGCTCAGCCTCAGAGGTGACAGTCCCGTGTCCTGGCTCAGGGGACAGCCCAAACCACCGGCAACTTAAACGCAGGAGAGCTGGAGTGAGACAGCTCACATCACCCGTTTCCCTGTGGAACCTGGAATTGAACCACCGTGGAGCTAAAACTGCTTAATGTAGAAAACTAGACAGAGAGTCGAGGATCTCTGCAGATTACAGTCCCCAGACTGGGGCGAGGGAGGGCTGGACCTGCCTGCTTATTCCCTAGACACCTGCCAGGAAAAAACACCACTGAACTGCACGGATTCAGGAGTTTCCTCATAGATATCAGCAGCAGCTAGATCAGCCCTCAGGACCCCGTGGATACCAAAGCCAGAGAGAAGGGTGTTACTCTGGTAACCTCTGCAGGGCAATTTCTCCTTGTGTCTGTTCTAGGATGCTCTGGGACAGCTGCAATTAAATATACCCAAAACATGTAACAGCATTCTAGTCCTGGGGAAAATAACACTTGAATTTGCATCTGCAAACAATCAAGTCCTGTCCCTGGCAATACCCAAAGAAGACTCAATGGTGCTAGGAGTGCAGAGGGAAGTTAGTCCATAGCCAGGTGAGAAAGAAGAAACAGAGGAGAGACTTGGAGGTGTTGGGGAGAGGTGAGCCAGGAGCAGAAGGTGAGAAAATCAGGATAATGTCCTTCCTGACAAGGGCACCATCACACACCCCCAAACAAGAAAACAATCTTAGCAATAGGAACAGAGTCAGCCACCAGTTACCTGAAGGTCCACCAAGATAAAAGGCAGCCAAGTCAGCAAGGAGAGATCAGGGTGAGAGCTACAAAGCCAAGCACTGCCCAGCAGCAGGGCTCAGGCAAGAGACTCCACTGAAATGCAGCTCCCCTGCTACCAGCTGGGTGGTTTAGGGGAGGTGTTTCCTGGTCCCAGCTTAGCTGTTTTTATGGCAGCCTGAGCCAAGGTGCTGTAGCTGTGCCACATCAGGGCATAGCTTGGGCACCTGCTGGGGCGTGGGATGGGGACACCAGGAGGATTACAAAGGTAATAAGAGGGTAATGAGAGAAATTAGATCCTGCTGGTACATGCGGAACCCTCAGAGCATCCCTCTTACTGGATGTGGTAATGGCTCTATTACAAAATCCTCTACAGAAATTGAAGGAATAAAAGCTTCAAAGCAGCAGCCTAGATCAGACCAGTCTGAACTCTCCCCATCCAGCAGCACCTCCTCACACCTTCAGCTGGGACAGATGCTAAAGATCCCAAAGCTTAGCACATCCACCAGAAAGTGCATGTGGGTGAGAGCTAGGGCTGCCTGGCAGCTGGACAAATTGTGACCCGTGGGATAAAGTTGTTCTTCCAGGTGTGGAAGTTGGATGCTGCCCCTGAAAGGAAAGGAAGAAGATCTCTTAATTATTCATGTTTCTGAGTTGACGCTTTCCCTCCTTTTCTTCAAAGTTGATTGAGTGGAGGGAAAAAAAAGGATTCATGTCCTTTCTGAGCCTTTCCTACCAGCTGGGTCACCCCAAGACAGGAATACAGAGCCTAAATGCTGTGCCAGCTCAGGGGAGTGGTGGGGGAGCAGTTCTGCCACCCTGGGAGGAGGGCATGGGGTGTTTATGCTAGTGACAGGCTGCTCCAGAGCCTGAGCAAACTGAGCTAGGCTTATGTCAGCACTATGTTTCTCTGTCTCTGAATGTGACTGAATTATCATCACTTGGCTTTCTGGGTCGACTTCCCCTTGCTTTTCTGCCTGCCAGTGCCCTGAGCAAAATACCAGCTCTCCTGTGCCAAGTGCTCATATGTTTTTCCATTATCATGAGGAATCCTCTCTGTTGAGGAGGGGTTAAGGAAAATCTTATTAAAAATTTTTAAATGTGGTGCTAATTAGCTTAGATGTAATGAGCAGCATTAGGCTTCTGGTTGCTTTGAAAGGGGTTGTTGAATAACCATTTCTGCCGACATTCCAATTTGCATAATGACAGGGTGTTGGCATTGCATCCACCATTAATTTGCTGTATTTATAATGCCATTATGGAGCCACTCTTATCCTCATGCACTGTAAAAGGTATATGGAAATATAATATATGATCCTGCTTGTTTGGAAATTGCTTTTGGATATCTTTGAATTTTTGTAATATTATTTTTGGCAGCTGAAGGCTAACAGCACCATCAGGAGAGTCTGCCACACAGTTTCACTAGGGCAGAAATTAAATGCTGCTT